AGGTGGTGTCATGTGCAATGTCATCCCAAGATGGCCACAAGATGGACAGCAGGGGAGGGCAGTTGTGGGCAATCGATACGCCGGCAAATACGGTAGGTGTCAATCAGGCTGGCAGGGGAGTGGCTAGGGGCAATCAGGCAGGTAGGCAGGCAAGTGGTTAGGAGCCAGCAGTCATGGATTGTGAGAGGGATGTCTCAGATTGGAGAGTGTGCAGGCTGGGCTGAGGGACACACACAGCCCCACCCCTCTGCACAAATTTTGTGTACCAGGCCTCTAGTTTCTTATAATAATGTAAGCTAGAGAAAAGAAAATGCTATTAAGAAAATCATAAGGATCATCTGTGAATTTTTTCAGATTATAGCAAATCTCTAAAAAATTTGCCAAAATATTTATTGAAAAAAATCTGCATATAAATGGACTCACTCATTTTAAACCCATGTTGTTCCAAAGTTAAGTTTACTTTGTTTCCAGACTTTTCTTCATACTTATCCTTTTGACTGAAATGCTCTGCTTGTCTCTGTTGGAGAAATACTGTTGGCTTTTAAGTTGTAATTCAAATTTTTTCTTTCCTTGATGCCACCTTCTTTTCACAGTTAATGGCTCCCTTAAAACCCTTTCTTCTGTGTTTTTAAATTTATTGCATTGTATTATGATGCTTATATATTGCTTACCTCTCCTACTAAATTATGAGCTTCTGAAAAGTAGGAACTCTAATTCCTTCCTCTTTGATCTTTTTATCTTTAGCACTCCGATTAATCCAATTGAGCTGTGAATATGTTGTGATTATTAGGAAGACATAATCCTTGTTACATAATTTCCAAATAATGGAAATACTATAATAATTGGCAATACTATAATAATTTGAGCTTCAGGCACACTAATTTTATATGAAGTTTTCATATTCTTAAAATGATATAAATCTTAATTAAAAATTTTTATTATAGTGCTTTTATGTTCCCTTTCTTTCTTCCTTTTTATCTAGATAAATAAAAATACCTACATAGGAATTCACAAGAATACTGGGTGACCTTACAGACCCCAAGGATAGAAATGTACTAGAGCTACTGCCACCACTCTGGCAATGAAGCTGGGCCTCAGGAATAAATGAATATGGGATTTCATATCATCAGGATATTTTTTATCCAGTTCTCATGTTTGCTTCTTTCCATATATCAGCTTCTTTCTTATCTCACTGAAGATTGCTTTCTCCCATGACTAAAAATGTGGCTTCTAACCTCCTATAAACTTTAAGTACTTCAGCTTTAGCCAAGAGGAGGATGATCCTGTGTGTTTCCAGTTTAAAATTCCTGGGAAGGAACTCACTGGATAGGACTTCTTTCTTTCTTTCTTTCTTTTTCTTTCTTCCTTTTTCTTTCTTCCTTTTTCTTTCTTTCTTTCTTTCTTTCTTTCTTTCTTTCTTTCTTTCTTTCTTTCTTCACCTGAGGATATTTTTCCTATAGTTCTTTAGAGAGAGTAGGAGGAAGGGAGGAAGAGGGACAGAGAAAAACATCAATGTGAGAGAGACATCAACTGGTTGCCTCCCACACGGACCCCAACTGGGGGGTGGAGAGTGAAACCACAACTGCAGTATGTGTCCTTGACTAGGAATAGATCCTGTGACCATTGGTCTGTGGGCTGACATTCTAACCACTGAGCACACCAGCCATGGTTCTGTTTAATTTTAATGTTTAATTAAGTTTTATTATATGCTGGTGTTTTGTGAAATATAAAGATAGTAAGGCATTCTTTACCCTACAGTTCAACTTGAGGGATAACAAGTGTGTACACTCAACCTAAAATTCAACTTTAAGACCATTTAAGAATGACTAAATAGCCTTAGCTGGTTTGGCTCAGTAGATAGAGTGTTGGCCCTCAGACTGAAGGGTCCTGGGTTCCATTCCAGTCAAGGACACATACCTCAGTTGCAGGCTTAATCCCCGTCACTGATTGGGCGCATGCAGGAGGCAATCAGTTGATGTGTCTCCCTCACATCGATGTTTCTTTTTGTCTCTACCCCTCCCTTCCACTAAAAATATCCTCGGTTGAGAATTAAAAAAAAAAAAAAAAAGACTAACTATAAGATTAGTTGATGCCAACAGCAAAACTTTAAATGTTCTGTGTTCCTGATGCCAACAGTAAAGTATTTCCATGAAGCCAGTGTCTATATTTGGAGCATTTATGAAATACGAGAATGTGCTAATTGACTAATCCCAACAACTATTACACAGAACTTGTATAACACAGGAAAGGTACTTGGAGTCATCATTTTAGTAATTTCACAGAAAGAAACTTTATGGAGGGATGTAGGGAGGTCTAACAAACAGTTTTCATTCCGCGAAATTATTTGGAAGTTAACATAAAATTTTCTGAACTTTTTATTTTGAATTTTTCAAGCACACATGTTTAAAGACAAGTTCAACATGCACCTTATACCTAGATGCAATAGTTGTTAACATTTTGCTATGTTTGCCCTCTCTTCCTCCTCCACCTTCTCTCTCTCTCTCTCTCTCTATATATATATACATACCTGTGTTGCTGTTGAACCGTTTGAAAGCAAGTTGCACACCTCAAGTACTTGTCCCCTAAATATTCCAGCATAAATATTTTTTATTACACAAGACTTCTAGATTTCAAAACTACTGTGCAGTATTTCCAGTTTAAGAAATCACAGAATTATCCTAAAACATTTATGGATTAAGTTATTTAAATTTGGAGAGTTAGTATGAGAAGTGTGAGGTATAGTGTTCCAGAGAGGCTTTAGCTGAGCCAAATCCAGAGTGTTTGGCAAGATAGAATGTCAGGGAGCAGTCTGCACGTTAGCCTGGCAACAAGATCCCTGAGGCTTTAGGGCATTTCAGTCTTTGTTGCCTTTGTGAAATAATGTGATATAAATGAAAAGGGTGTAATTTTCAGGACAAGAATAAAAAGCCTGATATTTTCTAAGGTACCAGAAGGGATTCAGCAAATATATTCTACAAAAAATGGCTTGAGAACTTAGAACTGTGTTGTCAGAAAAGCCAGGCAGAGAGGAATTTTAAAGAGAGAGGCATGGTAAATTTCAAAAGTTGATTCAGATCTCTGTTTTGTTGTCTCCAGAGTTATTGGAAAAATTCAAATTCTACAAGATTGGTTTTAAGCAAAATGCTAATTTAAAATAGAATATAATTCTATTTACTCTTTTGCATTCACTTTTCACATAAAAAGCCATACTAACCAGAATTATGTGGTATAGGACAGGTAGATCAATTGTTCTCTTTATATGCCATTTTTTAATCATCTAAAAATTAAACACATTTTTTCATCTATTAATTCAGGACTTTATAACATGGTAAAATTTGGTGATATAGCCCTAGCTGGTTTGGCTCAGTGGATAGAGCGTTAACCTGGGGACTCACGGGTCCCGGGTTCAATTCCAATCAAGGGCACATGCCCAGGTTGTGGGCTTGATCCCCAGTGTGAGGCATGCAGGAGTCAGCCGATCAATGATTCTCTTCCATCATTTATGTTTCTATTTCTCTCTCCCTTTCCCTTCCTCTCTGAAATCAATAAAAATATTTTTTTAAAAAATTTGGTGATATAAGATTTATAAGCTTTTTTATAAACCCCCCTTTAAAGACAAAATATTGTTAACTGTGTTGCACTTGGGGATTAAACTGCTACTTTTCAATAAAAAAAATAAATAAAAGTTGTGAAGAATATGAGTCAGTAACAATGAGCATCCTCCCAAGTTAGTAATAGTGTTATTCATTGTATTGTAGATTAGTAATTCTTTGTTGCTATTAAACAATGAGTGTAAAGAAAAGAATTAAGTGTATACTTAATTATACTTAATTCTTTTCTTCATTTCTCCTTTATTTCTAGTGATCAGATTTTCATAAAAATTTCTCTCTTTTACCAGAAATTTTTATGTGGGGAGAAGTGCCTGGATCAGCTAATTCAGAGACTGCTTCAATCAGCAGATGAAGAAGCTGTTATTGAGTTTTTGGATGAAAATTTTAAGTCAACAAAATGCTGATTTATTATTTACTAGAGGCCCGATGCATGAAATTTGTGCAAGAGTAGGCCTTCCTTCCCCTGGCTTCTGGCACTGGCTTCCCTCTGGCACCCAGGCAGGTAGGCACCTGGGACCCAGGCTTCCCTCTCAGCCCTGGCTTCATCTGGAAGGTCATCTGGAAGGACGTCTGGTCTAATTAGCATATTACGCTTTTATTATTATAGATTATTACATAAGTGAAATGGACCTATGTCAGAGGCATGGGAATCTTTGAGACTATTCATAAAGTACAGCTAAAAATGCACAATAATTATACATGTTTTTGTTTTTTAATCCTCACCTGAGGATATGTTTATTGATATGAGAGAAAGAGAGAGAAACAAACATTGATGTGAGAAACATTGATCAGTCGCCTCACACTTAGGCTCCAACTGGGGATCAAAACCGCAACCTAGGTATGTGCCCTGACCAGGAATCGAACCCACAACCTTTGGGTGTACAAGATCATGATCCAACCAACTGAGCCACCCAATCAGCTTACGAATGTGTTTTTTAATGAATCAATCACATTTCTTTTTCTTTCTGGAAGAACTTGAAAACCAAATTTTAATTTTGATGATCTTGTAAACAAAGTATTTCTCATGGTTTAATAACATGAAGGTTAGAATTCTACTCAGAA